TATGATTTTGCATAATGGACTCGATTTCGCTATTTATAGCTTCTTCCCAGAGTGGTCCATCTGGGCTGGACAGAGCTTCCTTAAGGGAACTCGGTTCATCGTCCAACATGTACGTAATAAAATCAGGTCCAAACGTTTTAGCCGTTTTTACCCTTTTACTACGTCTCGGTTCTTCATCAGTACCCTCTGGTACAGAACCACTAGCAGTTTCATACGTTCTTTTATTAGAACTAGATTCTGCCATTTCTTTCATAGGAAAAACATTCTCAAAGAATATAGCATTCCTTGACTCAATCGTGGTACCAACAGATACCTCTGGATTTTCTAATTTATGAACCAGAAATCTATATGTTGTACTATTGTACGCATATCCAAGAAATACACAATCGACCGTCTTTGGTCCGATTCTTACTTGTTTAGTTTCAGGTACTGAAACCTTAGCCAAACACCCCCACACTTTCAGGTATTTATAAGACGGCTTACGATTTTTCCATATTTCGTAAGGAGTCTCATTTTTCCCTTAGGTGGTATTTTGTTCAGGATGTGATTTGCTGTTAAAACAGCTTCCCCACACATGTTCTGTGGTAATCCTGCATTTATCAACATGGCATTCATCATTTCTTTTAACTTACGGTTCTTGCGTTCAGCAACACCGTTCGACTGTGGAGAAAAAGGGGTCGTCGTTTGATGAATTATGACATATTCAGAACATATTTTTTCAAAAGGAGATACATACTCCCCACCCTATCACTTTGGATTATTTTAATCTTTTTTCCGAGTTGATTTTCAACTTCGGTCTTATATATCTTAAATGGTTCCAGCCTCATCTTTGCTTCTTAACAAATATAAGTAGCAAAACCTTGTGCAATCATCGATAAAAGTTACAAAATACTTTTTACCGATTCTTGTTTGCACACTTTTCATATCGTATACATCAGTATGGATTATGCCTAATGGTTCAGTACTTCTTTCCACCGAGTGAAAAGGCAACTTAGCCATTTTTGCTTCAATACAAATTTCACATTTTGTATTTGTCTCAACTTTAGAATTAGGAATTAATTCTAATTTCATCGACTGTTTAATTGCATTTAGATTTACATGTCTCAATCTAATATGCCATAAGTCAGAGCATCCGACGGTATAAACAGAAATAGGCTTTTTATTATCATTAGAAACGGTTACACGGCTCACGGCCATTACATACATTTTGAACAAACCCTTGTCGAGATAACCACGACCAAGGAATATTCCATATTTGCTAAGAATAAACTTCTTAGCTTCAAACACTAGCCTAAATCCATGCTCAACAAGAAGCGATCCGGAGACCAAATTCTTGCGGATGTCTGGGACATGCAGAACATCCTTCAGCTTCAACTCCTTTCCAGAAGTGAGCTTCATCACCACCGTGCCCACTCCAACCACATCAGACGTGGAGGAGTTTCCCATGTGAAGTTTCCGACCCGTAGCAGGAGTGTATTCAGAGAACACCTCCTTGTCGGAACACACATGACGAGTGGCACCAGTATCGATGTACCACTCCCTCGGGTTACCCGCCAAATTGGCTTCAAACACCATCGCCGACATATCAAAGTCGATCAATTCACCCAGCACAGGGCCGTGTTCAGCAACAAGGGCACTCGGTTGCCCTTTATTTGGCCCAACTTTCTTTGGCCTCTTGTAGTCTTTAGCCATATGGTTTGGTTTTCCACAATTGTAACAAGTTCCGGTAAACTTCCAAACCTTGGCTGGCTGCTTTTCCTTGTTCTGGATCTTCCTATTGCTCGAGTTGCCTTGCTCCAGCAAGTTGGCACGAGCTTCCATCATCGGGACTTTTCCTGATGACTTCTGGTTGTCCTCCTCGATACGAAGAAGAACTACCAGATCTTCAAGACTCATCTCCTTTCTCTTGTTCTTGAGATAGTTCTTGAAGTCCTTCCAGCCTGGCGGCAGTTTCTCGATCACAGCCGCTACTTGGAATGACTCGCTCAAGGTCATCCCTTCAGCATGGATATCGTGCAAGATTAGTCGGAACTCTTGCACTTGTGACACGACAGTCTTCGTGTCAACCATCTTGAAGTCAAGAAACTTGCCGACGACGAATTTCTTCGCCCCGGTATCCTCGGTCTTGTACTTCTCCAGGGCAGCCCAAAGCTCCTTGGCAGAACCAACAGAGTTGTACACATTGTACAACTCGTTACTAAGCCCGTTCAGGACATAGTTACGACAAAGGTAGTCACCTTGCCCCCAAGCATCGTACGCAACGCGTAGTTCTGCATTGGTCTCATTCTCAGAAATGACCGGAGGGTCGTCCTTCAGGTATTTCACCAAACCCAAAGTGGTCTGGTAAAAATGCATCTTTTGTTGCAAACTCTTAAAGTCAAGCCCGTTGAATTTTTTGGGCTTTTCAGCTGTGGGAACATGGACAACAAGTACATGATATATCGGATGCTGAGAGCTGGAACCTGCTCCGGTGGATGCCATCAGTTCAGTAGGATGACTGAATATTCTTCTTGCGATTTTTGGATATTTGGTGTCAAATTACACGGGAATCCTAAGAACTGATATGTAATTTTCAGTTCATACAAATAATCTAAAAATAGAAAATTACAATTGAACTGAAAAAATAAATTACAACTGAAAAACTGAAAGATTTAGCCGAGGCGAGTAAAACTCTTTCCGCAAGAAGAATACGCCCCGTGTGTTGCTAACGGTTCAGACGTAACTTCCCCAAAGATACAACGGCAAACGTCTCTAAATCTGTAGCACACCAGATTTACGAGCTCCTTGCGAACTGGAACAGAATCAAGAATTGAGCACTTAAAAATAAAAGGAATATTTTAAAACAAATAAAAATATCACTTTTTTCTTCTCTTTTGATATTTTTATATCGGATATTTAGACATAAATCTATCTTTTCTTTCCTTTCTCTTTCTTTCTTCTCTCTTCTTTCTTCTTCTTGGTGTCTACTTTCCTCTTGCCCGAACGGAGTATTTATAGAGGGAGATATTGATCAAGTTGGCCAATTAGCCAACTATTCCACGCGGTTTCCCCTCCAAATTGCAATTTTTAATTATTATTATTTTTTTAATTGAAAATTCACATGGGTAAGTGCAATGAAGCATCTGGACATGTGGGAGAGTAGCTGGTGGGCAATTGGGCATGTTCTTAGCCCCATTTTTTTTTATCTTTTTCTAACATAAATTGGTGCAAAACATTCATGAAAGTCAGAAGGTACGTCTAGCATCCATGCACTTGGAGGGAAAGGCTGCCTTGTAGTACAAAAACTTCATTTCTAAACAAGGTGAATTGTCTTGGCCTCATTTTTAGAAGTCCTCTCAGCCCAATTTGAGGAGCTGAAGAAATAAAAAGTTATAGCCGAGTTTAACAAGTTAAGGCAAACAGGTTCTTGTGCTGATTATGTAGCCAAATTTGAGGAGTTGAGGGCATGTATGATGTTGATGAACAACAATTATTACAGTGAAGAAAGTGTATGGAGTGATGAGCTGTAGTCATTCCTCACTGTGTTTGATCCCAAAACACACCAACTGACAATTGATGTTGGAAGAAAACAATTGCATACCTTAGAAAAAGCCCCTACCAAACTAACTGATGCTGAAATGACTGCTAGAAGAGAAAAAGGGCTTTGTTATAAATGTGATGAACCCTACAATTTTGGGCATAGGTGCAAAAACAAGGCTACCGACATGATTATGACGGAAGAGGAGGAACTCATTGCTATTAGAGAATGCGAGGAGGAGCTTGGGGAAGCAGCATAATAGCATTGATAAATCACTCTTCGTCGTATAAGCAGCAGAATAGCTTTTCTGATTCTTGAGGAGCTTGGGGAAGCAACAAAATAGCTTTAAAATATGAACAAGATTCACGAGAGTCGTCAAGAAAAGATTTAAGTAATTGGTAGCCACTCTTTCACCGCATGAGAACAAATTTTAGTGTGGCGTCAAATAGTCGACCTAAAGAGCAACGAAGACCAAAAGGATAGAAAGAATCTTCATAGTATGTAATAAGACAATTGAATTCTCGTTCCAAGCTTCGCTTATCCTATAGAGATTCTTTACTCTATCACATGGAGAAAGGGTAAAATTATAGAGATTCTTTACTCTATCACATGGAGAAAAGGGTAAAATAAAGAGGACGCATTAACAATTTTAACTCACATCTTACTTTGTGACTAAAATAATAGAAAACAAAAAATATTTGGCTAAATTTGTAATTTTATAAAGCTTGTGATTTTATTTCAAAAGTGACACATTACCAAATTTATGCTATGAAAGAGGACATATCTAACACCCCAAGCCCTTTTCGCAGCCCCAAGATTCATTTTGCAACAAAATAATAGTCTTGTATATTATTATGATTTCCAAAGAATTGCAAAAACGAGTCACATAGATTGTAGACCATTTCCAGCCTTGGTCTTCCGACTACACAAAGCATAAACATACATCACAGGGAACGCACAAAAAGGAGAAAAGGTAGCAGCATCAAGATATACTAAGAATTAAACAAAAAAACATACAACCAAACATCCATCCGAAGTCCACCGCTCTGAATTTAAACAACAGAAATTAAAACAAGAGTCAATAATTCTCTCATCCACGAAAACAACGGGCTGGCAAGTCCTTATCAACCTCAAGGTTTATTATCAAAGGCTGGGAAAAATCGGGACATACCCAATCGGGTTTAGAGACAAAACAAGTCAGAGACAAACTCAATCATGATCGCATTAAACCCATCCAAAGCCCTTAGCAGATTCACGATTAACGGAACACAAGAATCCCACCAACAAAAAACAGCACCAGCAGCAAAACTCGACCATCATCCTAAAAGCTGACTGACACCTGCAGACCTGCAAAGACGTAATTCATAATATATTTTTCTTATCGATTTTTTACTTTTTCTCACTAACCAAGTTCTATCAGACTAGTCGATATCCAGATATAGAGCTCTGCCATTTTTTAAGTAACACAACCTAAATTTCCCTACTAATTAGCAACATTCTTCCCTTGTTCCTTGGTCTTCGCTGCAACTTCTTCATCGGACAATGGCAAGTAGTAAATTCTTGGGGTGGCTTTAGTTTTCCGGAAAAGATCGTCAAGTGTGACAATCGGTGGCTCAGCTTTCTCTGCCAATGGAGGCGGTGGTGGTGGAAGGTTGTTCAGCCGCTCCCTCGCCGGAATAGGGTGCTCTCGGTTGAAGGGCAGAAGATCAGCCAGCGGTGGTGGGGGTGGAAGCTGGTGGTGCCTCGGCACTTGCTGCCTAGGAGAAGGCTGAGGTGGCACATTGTTTTGGGGTGGTAAAGCTGCTGAGGGAGTTGTTGCTGGAGATGGTGGTGGTGCCTCTACCCGTGTTTTGACTTCTTGAGGTTCGACAAACTCTGCTACCAACAGGCGGCCGCCATTTGGGGGCCACTGGAGGTTGTATACAGCGTTACGGGTACCTACAGCTTCTTCAACTGATGAAAACTGCATATGCAAAGTGAATTATTATAATTATAAGTGGCTTATATATCTTAAGGAATCAAGCCTGGTCAAGTATAGAACAGAAGGGACAAAATACAGAGATTTAGCTAACAACAATTACTCTGTTATCTGTCAGTGTTGCAGTTAAGTTATTACAATAATTGAAGGAATAGTATTATAAAAATCTCCAATTGCAAATCCACCACCATTTACAAGATAAACATAAACTCATAATACTGTTCTATAGGGTGCAAATAAGTATCAGTTGGTAAAATAGCGGCCATGGGCTTGGTGGATTTCAGCCTGGCCGCCTTCCGGCAGTTTTGCAATGGTAGCACCATTGCAGCCGCCACGAGCAGGGCAGCCATGGCAATGTGGTGCTGATGGTGGAAAATTGTGGATTCCACCGAGATTCGGCCTTAAAAGGAAATATAAAGATACTGGTCTGGCCCAAATTTGCCAAAATAAGCCCAGTCTGTGCAAAAAATTAGACGACCCTAATTACTACGAGAGAAAAAGGAGAAGAGCCACCACCCGGCCAAGGGCAGATCCAGGAATTTGTTTTGAGGGGGGCAAAATATTTTTTAATAATCATCGATTTAATTTAATAAATACAAAACATAGAAAGTTGTATTGTAAAATTATATATAAGAATTGTGCAATATAAACGCTTGAAAGAAGCCGATTCTTGTTTGTTTGTTTTAGTTTTCTATCATCGCGTCAGTGGGATTTCCAGGCCGCTTTCAAGCGTGTCCTCTCAGTTTTTATTTTCGGCCTTTGGTTGTATTTGTATTCAAACTTTTGTTCCCTTTGAGTGGTTTTATAATATCTCTATCGTTCCCAAAAAAGAACTTGACAGTAACAAATTTAGATTGAAAGCTCTCTCAACTCATGGATTATTTTATTAATAATTGGCTCAATACTAGTAATCTTGATATTTTTAATTTCCATTAAGCATATATCTTATATGGTCTTCTTTTACAAAATTACCAATTTTTATAGTTTCACATATTTACCATACATTCAATTTATTTAAGTTTCACATATGTTATACACATCTATATATAAGACTCCTATATATAAAAAGGTTTGATTACTTTTTAAATAGTAACTATTTCCCGTCAAATAAATGTTGTTTACTAATTCTGGAAACTATTTAAACATTTTATGGTATGTTTTAAATATACAATTTAGGTAATTGTGGCTAATTTATTAAGGTAATAAATCACATAAAAAATTCATTTGTACCTCAAGATATTCGTATCACATCCGTAACAAACATTAGATTAGTTATTTATTTTAGAATTAATCACATCAATAAATAATATTAATATACATTAAATACTTATCATTATATAAAATAGGAATATTACTTTATAAATGTTATAAATAATATTGTATTGACATTATACGACAATAAATTTTTTAATAAAATAATATTTGAGTATTATGATGAACTAAAATATGTAAAACTATTATTTTTGTATTAAAAAATAAATATATAGGTTAAAATGTTATTTATACTAATATAAACAGATCAACAGACTAAAATTGTTAAATAAAATTATGCAAAAAAATTTTAAGTTACTAAATCCCCGTGCACCGCACGGGATTCTCACTAGTGTGTGTGTGTATGTATATTGTATATATATATATATATTGTATACATATGCTAAAAATTACAAACCTTGGGGGGGACAATGCCCCCCCCCCCCCCCCCATCACACACATAGATCCGCCCCTGCACCCGGCGACCCTACCTACAGCAATCATTTTGTCACTTTGTCATTTTTCCTCTTCCTGATCTCTGCTCATTTTCTTTTTCCCTACTCTCTCTCTTTAAATTTTCCAGATCTTTTTGCTCTCTTGAATTTCCAGATTAACTTTTGGTCGCCTTTCTTATTTTCAGCTCTTTATTTATTTGTTTTAATAATACCATCTCTTTACGGCACACTAAATAAAAGAGAATCTCATCTTACTTCGCTATAATTATTTTTCCAGCTCATTAAATTATATAATTGTATATATATAGAGAGAAATAGAGATGTTGTTCATATAGCCATACATACATATATAATAAACATAAATATTTGCACCAGAATATGAATATTGCAGTTAAAGGCACAACACCATAATATATGTGCTGTTCATAGAGAGAACATGCATGAGAGTTGGCAGTGTTGTAATTGCAAACAAAACTTACCGAGACATAGCAGTGGGTTTTAATTTGATCCATCCAAAAACCAGTAACATTGCCTGTTTTGCCAAGAAGCTCTTGCACTTGTTTCAAAGTAAAAGGGCGTAGAAAACGATCAATTCTAAGAGAATTAGTGGGGACCCTTAGTGATGGTGGAACTGTACAAAAGGCAAAAATAACATATTTTATTTCAGAAAATGAAATGACCAGTAATCGATCGAACAAACTGTTATGGCAACAAGGAATTCCAGAAGTTACCAACGCGCTCCTTTGGTGCTTCTTTAACTGTGGGAGTAGATTCAGAGACACCCTTGGGCATTGTGGGAATAACTTTGGTACTACTTTGTGTCCCGGGAGTTTTCAAGCCCTCGGCATTCCAACTGCGTGCTTTTTTCACAGGGTCATTATTCCCAACCGGTGCTTTCTCTAGAATGTCTGAGGATTGATAACCAATATTCCAGCAGTTGTTGAAGAAAAGACAGAAGCAAGAAAGAAAAAAGAAGGAAAAAGAAAATACAAAGGTTAGAGAGAATTTCAATGAGCTGAAACGCTTCTGATGTGCATTGATATTTCTCCAGGCTCCTTAAATCAACGGTTTTAACCAGGATTATTCAAAAAAGGACCAGCAGAAATATAAAACTATTCTTCAGCAGAATGTTTTGTTAGGACTAACAGGTACACTTAATTATGGCTCCAATAACTTCAAACAAACAATGGGTTGTAACAGTCATCATTGGTAGTAAAAGACAAAAGGCAACGTATGAAACCATATTTATTTGCAATATCTCCCAAGACCTACTTTCATCAAAAGTATGGAAGAAAATAGCATTACATGTATTCCCTTAATGACAAGATGTACTATGTTAATTGATCCCAACATCAACCTGCTAAGCAGAAACCTATTTCAAGAACACAAATTATTTAAGTATCCGTGCATACACTGCACCTAAGCTATAAAATGCAATGTGAAGGGAAGAATAACCTGAATACAACATTCAATATCCATAAATGCAAGTTTCATTACCAAACACAATGCAGATAACTAGCACATAGTTAACAATGTCAATGCAGCATGCCTAAAGTAAATGAGAAAAATCTAAAATTACTCAAACGAATATAATACAACTCTTACCATCAAACTTCCTTTTCCCCGATGCCACTGCAGAGACAGCCTCATTTTTAGCCTGGTCAGGTCCGGTTTTGACAGGATTATCATGACTAACAACATCAATATTATCCTCCTCTTTCGGAGCAGGCGTCCCAGATTTTTCCACATATTCATCAATTTTACTATCCACTATATCCTCCTCCATAGAATCATCAGCAGAGCTCCTGTCCAAATTTAATTTCTCGTTAACCAAATCCTCCCCATCTAAGTTCTTGAGACTATCAACCATTTCTTCATGGCTACCGCCAGTGGCTTCAACAGATACAATTTCATCAAGAGGTCCTTCAACATCTTTCTTTTCAAGGGGCTTGTCTTCAAGTGGCTCTTCCGTTTCCTTTTTCCCAAGTGACTCTTTAACATCCAAGGAATGTGATTCACCATCATGGCCGGCATTGATTAATTCTATTGGGACATTATCAGTAATTGCATCTACCTTAAGTTCAACTTTTTCAGTAATGGAAACAGATTCAGTAGATACAGAGTCAGATCTTACTTGAAATCCTAAATCAGTGTCAACCTCAGGTACCTGATGATTCAATGGGTGGACATCGGAATTCGGTTCTGGATACTTGGGTTCATCAGTTTCCATTTGAACGGATGAGTTCAAGGATTCATCCTGAGCTCCACTATATGGCTCCAACGTTTTGCTGCTCTCATTGATCACATGCAATTGAAATTTGGGATCAGAAGGTTCGACATTAGCATCTTCAGTTGACCCATCATTTTGTAAGATTTCTTCACTCACAACTTCGACAGTCTCCACCTTCTCAGTTATCACCACAGTAGTTTCCAAAGCAGCAGCTTGATCATGATTGACCCCTTCCAGTTCAGCAGCCTTGGTCCCTTGTTCTAAGCTAACTTCAACCTTGCCTTCAAACAATGACCTGTGATCATCCATCTCACACTCAGTCTTCGAATCCACTTTTTCATCCATGCTTATACCTACATCCGCGAATTCCTTGCCCTCTCCAAAAACATCAGTTTCTGGATTTTCTTGTTTGGTAGGTAACTCAGATGGGATTGCGTCGTTTTCATGATTTTGTGCCTCCTCGGCATTTTCGCGCTCAATGCGAACAGCTTCATCCAGACGTTTCACGAGTTCCTCTTTCAATCCTTTAGTAGTCAATTTACGTTTCTTGAGTTCTTCCCTCAACTCAGTAACCTTCCACTGATCGAGCGTTCTGTTGCCAAGTGTGACGTATGGTGATGACATCTTATATATTCCCAAAACTACCCTCTGCCAACGCTGTACCTGGAATCATATGAATAAGACATTCTGTGCTAGTAAAATACTGAACAAGCGATGTGTTGAAAACATGAAATAGAAAAATAGCCGGACAACAAAGGACCCAATTAGCAAATTGAAGTTCAGTAATGTGCCTAGTAGAAGATGTACGTGCATCGGTATAGTATGTCAAAGGCCTAAGAAAATGAAATTGGATCAATAAATTATTTCTCAATTTTGCAGGCCAATGAGCTCACAGGCCCCCCACAACTCCACTGAAGCCTCCATACACCATACATAGAAGTCTCAAAAACAATGAACACTAGTGACAGGGGAAAAAAAATTGAGCTCTTCGATAAAAAGAATCATTAAGATGCAGGGTAATCGAACATCATGTCATCATTTCATCACTTCTTCAACTGTTATTTTCCTTCCAGACTTTCACATAACAAAACAGCATAATTTCAGACAACATTGACACAACTTCAATTATGATCCAACTGTAAACAGAACAGCAGAATTTCGGACAACATCCACTGTACATGAAATCTCTCCAACTGTTACACAAAAAAGGCAACAAAGAACATTCCAATCTCGCAAATTTAGTCCACAATAGCATATCAATACAACTTCATTTAAAAAATCAACCAAAAAAAAAGAACCGACAAAGAACATACAACAAAATTCAAAAACTGCAAATGTAAGAAAACTAACACTCACCGTCGATGGTATGATTGTCAAAGAGAGCCCACAATTTACGAGGAAAGAAGGTATGGATACATATAAAACCCTAGTTCCATCACAACATAAAAACAAGAATAATCAGATGAAAAATAAAATCAGGAGAAAAAAAAAAGGCAGAAAAAAAAACACAAGTTTGAAAATTCGGGAAAAAAAAAAAGTTAGATTTCTTTCTTATCCGAAAATTACGATCGGGAAAATAGACAATATGAGGAGCGAGAGAGCTGAAAAAAATGAAAATGGTAGTAGGGTTGTTGATGCAATAAATTGGGAGAGATGGGGATACGAAGGAACGAAGTGTTTTAAGTACGAAAATGCCCCTCTGCCCTATTTAGTATTGCATTGGGAATTTGTTTTTTTTTTTTTTTTCAACAATAGGAATAACTCCAATAAAACCGGCAACCACTAAACCAATACAAAGTACCATTACAATCCGCAAACAAGCCAACTAAGGCTAAAACACACTGAGAGGCACATCCTAAGATAGCCTAAACCATATAAACCAATTCTACTCGGGCAAGCTCAGAGGCTTGAGATCCCCAACAACTAACTCACCCAACACCAACAAGAAATCAAGCACCTACCAGCTACACACACACAGACTAAACAAAGCAACTCACGCTAAAGAAAACAAAGCACCAAAAGCAACAGCAACAAGCTGCGAAGCACAACCTACAAACTACAGACCTGCACTACCAGCACTAATAAGAAGAAAAGAACTCTTGCCACTCCAACCAAGCCTGCCTCACTATCACTGCAACTGGTTGCCTCTTACCTTCAAACAGCCACAAATTACGAGTGCGTCAAAGCCACCATAGAATATAAGTCGTGAGTTGAATGCGGGCCTCGAACAACTCTGAGTTATTGATTGAGCACACTTGCCACCACCATTGCCTACAATTACCTTCAAACAGCCACAAATCTTCAGCTTGTCGATTTGTCTTTGATAATGCCTTTATAGAAATTTTTTAGAGTTTTCTTCGATTTTTAAAAAAGTGGTATTTAAATAATCGTTGAATCGATTACTGGGAGAAAGAAGGCGACATAGATTTTGTGTTTTGTCAAATTTTTTTTAGTCCACGTGTTTTTACGAGAATGGCGACATGATTTATTTTTTTGACCATTCCACATTTGTATTCCGACGAGACGCTTCAGCAATATTGGTGCCGAAGGTAGAAGGCATAATTCGATTTGCAAATAAGCAAAAGGTCATATACTTAAATGCTAATATATGAAGGTCGTAATTAAAATGTAAAATCATGAAAAATGATGCTTTTATATGTAATTTAATGGTGCTTTTATATGTAATTTTGCCTATTATGATTTCCAAAAAGATTCGTTTTATTCGAAAAAAAAAAACATTTTTAAAGAGGAGCCAAATAGATTGTAGACTATTTACGGCCTTGGTCTTCCGACTACAACAAAGCGTAAACATACATCACAGGGAGTACAGCAAGGTATAGCCATACGTCACAGGTCCGCACATAAAGGAGAAAAGGAAACAGCATCAACATACTAGAATTAAATACTAAAAACATACAACCAAATACCCATTTGAAGTCCACTGCTCTGAATTTAACAACGGAAATGAAAACAAGAGTCAGTAATTCTCTCATCCATGAAAACAACGGGCTGTCAAGTCCTTATCAACCTCAAGGTTTATTATCAAAGGCTGGGAAAAATCGGGACATACCCAATCGGGTTTACAGACAAAAACAAGTCAGAGATAAACTCCATCATGATCGCATTAAACCCATCCAAAGCCCGTAGCAAATTCACGATTAACGGAACACAAGAATCCCACCAACAAAAAACCAGCACCTGAAGCAAAACTCTTAAAACTCGACCATCATCCTAAAAGCCGACTGACACCTGCAGACCTGCAAAGACGTAATTCATAATATATTTTTCTTACCGATTCTTTACTTTTTCTCACTAACCAAGTTCTATCAGATTAGTCGATATCCAGATATAGAGCTCTGCCATTTTTTAAGGAACACAACCTAAATTTCCCTACTAATTAACAACATTCTTCCCTTGTTCCTTGGTCTTTGCTGCAACTTCTTCATCGGACAATGGCAAGTAGTAAATTCTTGGGGTGGCTTTAGTTTTCCGGAAAAGATCGTCAAGTGTGACAATCGGTGGCTCAGTTTTCTCCGCCAATGGAGGCGGTGGTGGTGGAAGGTTGTTCAGCCGCTCCCTCGCCGGAATAGGGTGCTCTTGGTTGAAGGGCAGAGGATCAGCCAGCGGTGGTGGGGGTGGAAGCTGGTGGGGCCTCGGCAATTGCTGCCTAGGAGAAGGCTGAGGTGGCACATTGTTTTGGGGTGGTAAACCGGGAGTTGTTGCTGGAGATGGTGGTGGGGCATCTACCCGTGTTTTGACTTCTTGAGGTTCGACAAACTCTGCTACCAACAGGCGGCCGCCATTCGGGGGCCACTGGAGGTTGTATACAGCGTTACGGGTACCTACAGCTTCTTCAACTGATGAAAACTGCATATGCAAAGTGAATTATTATAATTATAAGTGGCTTTATATACCTTAAGGAATCAAGCCTGGTCAAGTATGTAGAACAGAAGGGACAAAATACAGAGATTTAGCTAACAACAATGACTCTGTTATCTGTCAGTGTTGCAGTTAACTTAATACAATAATTGAAAAGGAATACTATTATAAAATCTCCAATTGCAAATCCACCACCATTTACAAGAAAAACATAAACTCATAATACTCTTCTATAGGGTGCAAATAAATATCAGTGTGGTTAAATAGCGGCCATGGGTGTGGTGGATTTCAGCCTGGCCGCCTTCCGGCAGTTTTGCAATGGTAGCACCATGCAGCCGCCACGAGAACGGCAGCCATGGCAATGTGGTGCTGATGGTGGAAAATTGTGGATTCCACCGAGATTCAGCCCTAAAAGGAAATATAAAGATATTGGGCTGGCCCAAATTTGCCAAAATAAGCCCAGATCTGTGCAAAAAATAAGACGACCCTAATTACTACGAGAGAGAAAAGAGAAGAGCCACCACCCGGCGACCCTACCTGCAGCACTCATTATGTCACTTTGTCATTTTTCCTCTTCCTGCTGCTCATTTTCTTTTTCCCTACCTTTTCTCTCTCTTTAAATTTCCAGATCTTTTTGCTCTCTAGAATTTCCAGATTAACTTTTGGTAGCATTTCTTATTTTCAGCTCTTTATTTATTTGTTTTAATAATACCATCTCTTTCCAGCACGCTAAATAAAAAAGAATCTCATCTTACTTCGCTATAATTATTTTTCCAGCTCTTTATTAATATATATATTGTTCATATAGCCATCGTACATACATATATAATAAACATACATATTTGCACTGGAATATAAATATTGCAGTTAAAGGCACCACACCATAATATATATGCCGTTCATAGAGAGAACATGCATGAGAGTAGGCAGTGTTGTAATTGCAAACAAAACTTACCGAGACATAGCAGTGGGTTTTAATTTGATCCATCCAAAAACCAGTAACGTTGCCTGTTTTGCCAAGAAGCTCTTGCACTTGTTTTAAAGTAAAAGGGCGTAGAAAACGATCAATTCGGAGAGAATTAGTGGGGACCCTCTGTGATGGTGGAACTGTACAAAAGGCAAATAATCAAAAAATGAAATGACCAGTAATCGAACAAACAGTTATGGCAACAAGGAATTCCAGAACTCACCAACACGCTCCTTTGCTGCTTCTTTAATTGTGGGAGTAGGTTCAGAGACACCCTTGGGCACTGTGGAAATAACTTTGGTACTACTTTGTGGCCCAGGAGTTTTTAAGCCCTCGGCATTCCAACTGCGTGCTTTTTTCACAGGGTCATTATTCCCAACCGGTGCTTTCTCTGGAATGTCTGAAGATTGATAACCAATATTCCAACAGTTGTTGAAAAAAAGACAGAAGCAAGAAAGAAAAAAAGAAGAAAACAGAAAATACAGAGGTTAGAAAGAATTTCAATGAGCTGAAATGCTTCTGAATGTGCATTGATATTTCTCCAGGCTATTTAAATCAACGGTTTTATCCATGATTATTCAAAAAAGGACCAGGAGAAATATAAAACTATTCTTCAGCAGAATGTTTTGCCAAACACAAATGCAAGTTTCATTACCAAACACAAGGCAGATAACTTGCACATAGTTAACAATATCAATGCACCAAGCCTGAAGTAAATGAGACAAAAACTAAAATTACACAACGAAAATAATACAACTCTTACCATCAAACTTCCTTT